TAATTATTATTATTATCATTATTTTTTATTATTATTATTGTTATTATGATGATTTTTATTTTATTTTTTATTATTATTATTATCATTAATTTATTATTTTTTATTACTATTACTATTATTATTATTATTATTATTATTATTATTATTATAAATTATTATTATTTCTTCTTCTTCTTATTGTTAGCATTATTTTAATCATAATTATCATAATTATTATTATCATCGATATTATTATTAATTAATTTTATTATAAATTATTATTTATCTATTATTATTATTTTATTATTATTATTATTATTACTTTTTATTTCTTATTATAATTATTATTATTATTACTATTATTATTTTTATTATTTTTGTTATTAGATCTATTATTTATTTATGTATCTATTATTATTATTATTCATTATTATTATTATTATTATTATTATTATTATATTATTATTATTATTATTATTATTATTATTATGTTGGCATATTCCCTGCCATTTTATTTGATTTTGGATTTTATTTTATTCGTATATTTGTATTATATGTTATAAGCGCCACACCTAAAAGATAGAACACTCTCCATTTGCAAAGAATGGGAATTATCTCCCATTATAAGAAATTGGATTTTTTCCCATTTATCAAAATAGGATTTTCTCCCCATTATTAAGATGGGTGATTTCACCCATGGGTGCGTTTCACCCATAATGAAAATGGGAGATTCTAAAAAATATTTATATTTCGATCTATATTTTTAGGAAGGAATATCTTAAATCAAGATTAGTGATTTTTTTTAAAATAATGGTATATATATTTTTTAATTCTCCCGTGATTTTTTTCTCCATTCTCGTAAAGAGGAAATGAAACCCACGAAACTCCCACTGGGAGACCAAATCCCCAGTGGGGGAATCGAAAAACCCCATGGGACCGGCCAACTTTGAATGTCTCCCCTGCATTTAATTTTAAGGGTATCGTCATTTCAAAGGCCAGGTTTTACTTGACTCTTTCTCTATTATTGACCGAGCTTTAAATTTTTTCTCTAATCAATTTAAAAAAGGTAGCTGAGTTTGCGAAAATTCCGGATTTGCAAACTTATTCCGGAGGCTGTTTAATACAAACATACTGGAGAGAAAGAGGGTATAACGATACGCAATAGTGAGAATGATGTAAATAATGCATACTGGAGAGAATGATAACTATAATGATTACATGTTTGAAAAGAATGATGATGTAACAATACATAAATAAAAAGAATGATGAGATAATAAATAATGGAGAGAAAGGAGATACATTATTACACACTGGGGTGAAGAGGATATAATAATACACACTGGAAAGAAAAGGGATACAATAATAAATATTGGGGAAAATGATGATATAATAATACACACTGGATAGAAATATGATAACATGATAGTAGATACGGAAGAGAATGATAGTATTTAAATATATAATGAATAGAATGATGATATATTAAAACACAATGGAGAGAAAGAGGATACAATAATACATATTAGAGAGAAAGAGGATATGATAATACACACTGTTTAGAAAGAGAATATAATAATACACGCTAAAGAGAATGGTGATATTAAACATTCATACTGGAGAGAAACAGAGTATCATTATATGAAATGATGAAAGTATTTATATAACAATTTATACTGGAGAAAAAGAAGGTACAATATTACACACTGGATAGACAGAGGATATACATGTAATTATACACACTGGGGAGAGAGTAAAAGAATATAATAAAACAAAATGGGGAGAATGCTGCTATAATTCTACACACTGGGAGAGGAAGAGGATATAATAATACACACTTGAGAGAAAGAGGATATAATAATACACACTGGTTAAAAAGATGATATAATAATACATACTAGAGAGAAAGAGAAAAATAATAATTACCAGTGGATAGAAATAGGATATGACAATACATACTAGAGAAAAAGAGATTAAATAATACCTACTGGACAGACAATAACTTTGACTGGATAGAAAGAGGTTAGAATAATACACACTGGGGAGAAAAAGGATATAATAATACATACTAGAGAGAAAGCGGGTATAATAATACACACTGGTTAGAAAAAGGATATAACAAAACATATTAGAGAGAAAGAGAAAAATAAGTATAATCAGAATTTAGAAAGAGGATATAATAATACATATTGAAGAAAGAGAAGATATAACAATGCCTACTGGAGAGAATGATAATATAATTACATATACTAGAGAGAACGATGATATTCTAAAACATACTAGAGAAAGTTATGATATAACAATACATTCTGGAGAAAATAATAATACAGTAAACTCCGCTTATAACGAACTCATTTGGACATTTGAAATCTGTTCCTTATATCCGGAGTTCCTTGTAAGCATATAGCGAATTTGTTCCTTGTATAAGTTTTATAGCGAACAGATTTGCATATAACGGACTGATTGTTTACCATCGTCCTCCATTTTGAAAAGCATTCGTTTTAGAAAAATTGGTCACTTATATCTTTTTAGACACAATACACGAGAGCGTCCTTTTTGGAATTTAAAAATCCTTTGTTATTTCAGTTTTAGTTTTATTCCCTTTCACAATTTCTCATAAAATGCATTATTTTGTTTCTAAACTCAGTGGTTTTTGTTTTCTAACCATGATTAAGAATAAACAAGATTTTTCGATTTTTTCTTCCTTTTATATTGAATATCTTTCTATTATATTTAAGCGTGACTTTTACTTAAAAAAGATATAGATTTCTTTTTCATTTCAATCAATCGTACTTTGTGTGACTTTTGTTTGAAAACCGATTAAAAATGGATTATAAATTATTATACTTGACCAAAACTATTTAAGAAAGAAATAATAGAATAAAAGGAATAACCGTTTTTTTTTTCTTGGTTTTACACTAACTCGTGCTAAAATATCCTAAATACAAAACTATTACGTACTGCTATAAAAATTCATTTTACAGCTGTATAGAAGTACATACAACAATTTACGGTACCTCTGGCCGAGTTTTTTTATCCACGAAAGTTGAAAATGCGGGATCTATTTACGGATAGCCGATATTTTAGAGTTCGTTATAAAAGCGTAATTTTCTATACTTTTAACTAAATTGGGACTAAGAATTGAGTTCCTTATAAGCGATAATTCCTTATAACCGTGTTCGCTGTAACCGTATATTTTTATATTAAATAAAGAAGGGCAAAATTCGGGCCGAAAAAAATTGTTCCTCATAACCGGAAGTTCGCTATAACCGTGTTCGCTATAAGTGAAGTTTACTGTATATGAATACACACTGTAGAGGCAGAAGATATCATAGTGCATACGTTTCGGGTGTCAAAAATAGCTTTTTTCGTGAGTGCGTTTTTCGTATATCGTGCGTGCGTATATCGTGCAACGTGCGTTTGATGAAACGCTTTCTCAAGCGTGCATCGTTTACAAGCGTTTAACGTTTATTGTTTTTCGTGTATCGTTTTTCGTTTATCGTGCGTTTGAAAGCGTGCGTTTGATATCCACAGAAACGTTAAGCGTGCGTCTGCGTTCGTCTAAACGTTTACGTACCGTGTTTTGTGTCTGTTACTATTGAGAACTTAAAAAATATCTTAAACAGATGTTTGTAAATTTTGGGTTTCTTAAATATGTTCAGTGTCTCTTTCGAAGAATAAAAATATTATATAGAGAAATATTATTGTGATAATTTCATTTTTAAAAGTTTTTGACCTCATGGTGAATACCGGATTTCGACGTGTCTTACGCCAAAGTTTAGTTTAAATCCTTTGTTTACATACGCTTAGGATTTAATCACTATTTAATTGTAACATGTCTGATATTCAATTCAGCAAACATGTGTCTATATGCGTGCCAATATATCAGATATCAGGTTCATCAGACATTATATGATGGTAATCAGACTAGTCCGCCCCCTCCCCATTTACCAGTTCATCTTCTGACATTTTTACACAGACTGTCCGAATCCTATTAAGGTGAAATTAAATTTAGACAAGTCCTTACCATTTTTCATAGTTATTTTTCTTATTAACTGATTTTTATTGATATGTTACAGCCTGGCAGGAACTCGAAGCCCTGACACTCGGAAAACATGTACATTTACCATTCCGCGGTTATTCGGCCGCTTACACTTTATTCCCCTAAATACTGAAAAGTTCTAAACCGTAAAATACTTCCCTGCTATATATGCAAATATTTTTTCGAATTTCCCAGGATTACAGAGCAATGTGAGTTAAACTCAGGGCCATATGGCAGTCAAAAGGACCCGAACTAATGACCCTCAGATTACCGTACCGCGTCTCTACCGACTGAGCTGTCCGGCCGCTTACACCTTTTATGTGCTTAAAAGTGAATACCTCTTACCCATGACAGATACGGTTAAAAGCATAATTATGGAATAAAGAAACGAAACTATATTTGGTAGTAATGATTATTTTATAAGAGAGATGTTGTTTTAGATTCATATACTAATTAATTGATTATTATTTATACTGTCACAGATATTTTCGGATTATCCGACATACACCTCAAGAAACACGACGTTATGGTTAATTAGTATGATTGCGCCTGTTCATGCCCGTAATCCCGTTTCATTTTTATTAAATTCACCCCGTGTGCACTGTCTTGTTTTATGGGCTCCTTCTCGGTTATCCTGTGTTGCTGGGTCGTATGGGGGTTGCGTACATTGAACGCTACCTTCCCTTGACGATCTTGTTTTTCTACCACGAGGAGATGTCAGGTCATACAAAAGAAAATTTATTGAATCTAAAACGCAATAAAGTTATATTGAAATGATTAAAAAGTTTTTGTTTTTTTTCTGAACAAGAAATTTCTTAAATCTCTTTGTGTTTTAATGAAGGGAAATTTAAATAATTAATTTGGCACAAATGTTTAAAATGATGAAACAATATGCTGTCTATAAGAAACTATATGTCATGCTCGAACAGATAGAATGTAATGTTCACTCCCTTACTTTAAGTGCATCATGAATATTATCATTAATCCTTTATTTCTTTTAAGAATATTAAAACACCTTGCATAAATGTCAATAATTTTATTTCCAGTATATTGTTTTTTCAAGTAACTTTATAATTGTTATTAACTGTTTGATTAAAAAGTAGAAGAGCATTCATAATTGCTTCATCCATATTAAAATATTTATAATTTGCCAAGCGTCCAACAAAATAAATATCAGGATCCGAGTTTGCGAAATTCTTATAACGTTTGTATAAATTTTGGTTTCGCGCATTAGGCACGGGATAATATGGTTCTCCGTCGGCTGTCGATCTCTCATAGAATACAATTGTGTCATTAGATTCAAATTGTTGATTAGGTAGCCATTTATACTCAACAATTCGTGTAAAGTTTTCAATCAGATTTGGATGGTTAACAACACTGCCTGGCTGAAAATGATTCATATTCTTAAATACCTTTCGTTCAAATGACAAAGACCTGTATTCTAATGCCGGTAGTCCCTTTTCAGCGTAATATCTATCCACCGGACCGGAGAAATATGTTTTACCACATTTTATTCTTTTGCGAATATCAAAATAATCGGTGTTCAAACGTATGGTTATCTGGGATGACTTGAACATGTTATCTATCAAATTTGTATAACCTCTCTTTGGCAAAGCCTGGTACTTGTCTGAGAAATATCGATTATCCCAATTATTCCGCACCGGAATACGAGCCAAAACCGTCGGTCCTAGCTCAGCAGGCGTTTTATTCCACTGTTTAATTGTATACGGTTTGAACAATACTTCGTAGAGTTTCTTCCCAACACGTGATAATGCTACTTCCTCCGAATTCGTCAGATTATGATTATAGTGAATTTGTTCTTGTTTAAGCCAAGCATCCATTTGCTCGATAGATGTAATATTCAGACCAAATAAGATGTTAACTGTGTTGATGTTGACTGGGATAGGAATGTGTTTTCCTCTAACAACAGCTAGAACTTTATGTGTGTATGAAACCCATTCGCTAAATTGTTGCACATAATCCCAGACATATTCATATTTTGTGTGAAAAAGGTGTGCACCGTATTTTGAAACACGAATACGTGTTTCATTATCAATGAAATCGTAACAGTTTCCACCGATGTGTTCACGCTTCTCTACAACTAAAACGGTTTTCTCTGTTGTTGCAGCATATCTTTCCGCTATAACTGCGCCGGACAAACCTGCTCCAACAACACATATATCATAATAATCGTCTGGCATTTTGACTGAAGCCCGCCTGTAAAATGCTATCGTTTTCTTCCAAAAAGCACAATAAACCACCACATTAAACAAAATTAAAAGATGGAATAATACAATTATAGCAATTAATCCATCTTTATATTTTCCTTTAAAATATTTCATTATTGTGTACAACAGAGGTTTAAGAATATTTCATGTGCTCTACTTTAATTCAAACTGTATACAGTTGTATTGGATATTAACACATTGTACATTTTTATTGCTATTTACACTGACATTTGTTTATATTTTGCTAATTAACATTAAATGTGCATCCTGTTATATGTTTGTACAAAATGGTTTCTAAATCAAAGATGCCGGCCAGACAAGATTTTATTACTGCTGTCATTTGACTTTGAGGTGAGACATTGACCTTAAAACTAGGAGATTAGGTCTTGCGGATGACACATAGTCTCATCATGCTTCATATTGTGACAAGCTAAATCAAAATCCCTTGATACATGACAGAGTTAAGGGCCGTACAATGTTTTCTATCTGCTTGCTGACCTTTGACCTCTTAAAGCAACCTTGATCTTGGAAATAGGGTCTAGCCTTGCGCATGACTAACCATGTCATCATGATTCACATTTGTGCCAATTAATTTCATAGTCCCTTGATCCATGGCATAGAAAAGCGCTGGGCAAAAATTTTTCAACAGCTTACTTTTGACCTGTAACTGTGACCTTGACCCCGGAGATATGGGTATAACATACACCGTCTCATTATGCTACACATTTCTGTTTAGTTATCTTAAAATCTCTTGATGAATGACGGAGTTATTGGCCGGAAAATATTTTCTAAGTGCTGACATTTGACCTTTAATTGTGACCTTGACCTTGGAGCCATTTTCTAGGTCATGCGCATGACGCATCGTTTTAACATGCTACACATTAGTGCGTAGTATTGTCCAAATGTCTTAATGCATGACAAAGTTATAAGGCGGACAAAATTTTCTAAAACAAGCACTCATTCACTGACTCGCGCACACAAGGATGAAGAGCTGTTACACTATATGCCCCATTGTCATTATCATGGCGGGGAGCATAAAAATCGTAGGAATAAGAATCATTTTAATGGTATGCAAGATAAGCTTTCAACACCGCAACGTTTTAACACAGATGAAAAATTGTACAGAGAATAAAGTGCCCTCCTTTAGCAAGCTACCACATAATACTTGGATCAGTAAATTCTGTTGTGCAGCGTCCACAGGAATAGGTTTATGTCAAGTTCACCGAAGGTAATTTTTTTTAATTCTTAACTTAATAGATTTTTCCAAACTAAAAAAGTTTTTCAAGCTTAATATGGTTTAAGTATTTGCATTTTAGTGCAAATTGATTTTTTAAATGAGCTAAATTGTAGAGTATTTGTTGAAATTTGCGAACGATGTTGATATTTACCACTTAATCGGGTCCAAACTCCGTCTTATATATAAAACAAAAACTTCCTTCCACATGTATTTCAGTGGTTATCCATAAACTCAAGCTGCTTTTAGCAATTTTGCGAAAAACGGCATTGACTTTTGTATAGAGTTTAGCACGGTTGGGTACGGGGTGTAGATGAAAAACTGTTAGCGAGTGTACGGTGTGTAGTCTGCAAAAATAAACTTCAGTACCAGAGCATACACGTACGCTGAAGGAGAAACAAGTTTGCTACTTTAAAGGAAGCATGCGAGAAGTCTTTTTGCAGCTGTGGAAGATTTGTTTAATTCGAAAATATTTTTGCATAAAAGGCACACTGAATGTATAAATTACAATTATTCAACAAATTAGAATTTATTACATATACACTTATATTGAATAAAGTATCATAATGAAAGTTTGTTTTACACTTCATTGTTTAATGTTTGAAAGATTATATTCCGGAAAAATGGACATTTTCTTAGCGCATCCGGGATACTTTTTCTACAAAGGGCACACTTTATGTTATGTTAACAAACTTAATTCAAAATAAATGATATATATTAAAAGAAGTATCAAAGTAAAAGTTTCTTGTAAAATTCAATAATCATTTAAACATTTCCATTGCAACAGAGAGATTTTCCAAAACAGGCATACAGTATGTTAATCAAACATTTTTAAGTCCCTGATTTACATAAAAATAATTATATCATTTGATTGGAATAAACAGTATATAAAGCTGCATGCCTCCAACCACAATATTTGAAGACAATATTTGAAGACAATCAAACTTGAGCACAATTTGTGCGATTTGCGCAAAAAAATCTCCGTTGAGTTATTTAGTCATACTGGTTAAAAGTTACAGGAGCAGCAAAATTTCGGTACACGGTTCTTTCGGTCATAGTGCACGGTGATATTGTAGCTATGATGTGCACTGTTACTATTTTTCTGAACATGAAATAGTAAAACGCTATTCAGAAAACAATAATCGAAAAACGGAACGAGCCATGCACGTAGTATTAAGTTATGTAAATGATATTTTCCGATTTTTCTTTTGTACCGATTTGTTCACTTCGATGTTAATTTTTCGCTTAAGTTCAGTCGTATTTTGAAGTGGAGCATGCGCATGACAATTTTTGTAGACTGCTCCTAGTGATTTTACGCTTTAAATGAGATTCATTCACTACAATCAGATATTTAGGTTTATTCGTTTTACCGGTCTTAAGACTTCATTGAAAAACAAATGTATGTTACTGAGCCTTGACTTCTTAAGTTTATGCTTATGGGTAAAAACTATATTACTGACTATAAAAAGTTTCCGCAATTATTAACGAGATTTTTTTTTTGCAGCTAAACTCGCAGTGACCACATTTTCGATTTCGATATTGTTTAGTAAATAAATGCTGCTGCTACTCCGAAAATAATGATAATGATGACTATTCAATGATGATTATGATGATGAAGAAGAAGAAGATGATGATGGTGATATTATTTTTTCGTTGATGCACTACCATACCAAGGCATGGAATGTGCATAGATATATGGTACTTTACTTAATGAAAAGATATTTTTAAAGCGTGAAAAATGCAATCATAATAATTTGTTCTGATACATATTGGTATTTCTGTTATTGTATTTAAGAAATAACAAAAGAATATCGTTTACTTACATAAATCTTTCATACAATGAGTAAAGCAATACAAGAGTACAATTAAAAACATCAGATACTAGACATATTCCTTAAGGCGTTTATGAATACCGTATTTTTAAAAGTAAGATTTACTGTATGAATGTATGTTTTACAAAATAAGCTGTCGAAATAAAATGTGAGGACGAAAAACGCGTATTTGAATAAATTAAGGATATAGGCGTTTACACCATGTTATAAACCAGTGACTAAAAGAATAAATACATGATTTCTAAATTGAAGAATTCGTGGCCTCCGCCCATTGTTTTCTCGTTAAGGACACATGCATTTTTTAACTTGGGGACCATTTGCCGCTTTTCATGGAATGGCACTTACGTGTCACATTGAAGGTTCCATGATAACCGCCGTATGAACACCAGGTGAGCCTAAAAACTCATCATCAGTTTTTCATGCTCATGGGAGCAAAAAACAAAAACTTAAGAAACATCCTGAAATAAATGAAGTCAGTGGGTTGAGAGATGGGTTCCCGTGACTTACACAGTGTCGGATAAAATCTTGTGAGGTGTTATCATGAATATTCTCTGTGTGATATTGTGTTATTAAACCATATGTGTATGTTTAGTCTGTCCAATCCAATTTTTTTCCATCATAATAATCTCCTGGTGATGAAATGTTACAAACAGATGCATTCTGTCACTATAAAAGCAACTGATCATCCTTGAGCCACTAATACCAAGCCCGTTTAACTCACAACGAGTGAAATATGTCCATCGGTAAAAATGTTGTGAGCAACTTCCGTTCCTCGTTGTGAGCACCCATCTTTGACGTGTGACACGATAAACAATGTGAGTTTTTCATAATTTCTGAAGATTACAGACATTTATGTAAAAATATCGAAATGCAGTTAGCTAGCGATGTGTTTTCCGAGTATGCACATGTAAATTATTGCCTGTTGGTGGACAATTTGATGGAAATACTGTGCGACGCAGTCACTCGGGGTAGCAGGAAAACTGGAGACAACTTCTCTTTGGCCTGATTTAACATTGAAAACGTCGATTCTGGTGACGTGATGTGCATTCTAACCTAAAACAGATGCCCACAAGTCTTCAGCGTAAATTATTATCCGAAAGTCTTCATAGAAACGAAGATATACCCTTTTTTGCTTTAATCCTCGTTGTGAGCACCATTACCTCGTTGTGAGCAAGACAAGCACAGTGCGTGTATGGTTTTAATATGTAATTCAGATGGTGAAAATATAATTTTCAATCTACCACAGCAATTAAAACGTTTTTGCACAGCAGCATTTCTTTGCAAGACGATGTGCATACCCCAAAGGGAGGCATATAAGTTTTGAACTGTCCGTCTGTCAGTCCGTCAATCTGTCCAAAAACTTTAACATTGGCCATAACTTCCTTATTAGTTAACGGATTTGATTCATATTTGATCTCAACATCCCTTAGCTACGGACCTGTACTTTTAAACCTTGGCCCCTGAATGGCCTTTACCTTGAAGGTCAAATTGTCAAAATACATTTAAGATTGGCCATAATGTCCTGGCATAATGTTTAGGTACAACACATCTTTGGACAAGGCCTTTCAGCTATCCCATATTCTTTTGACCTTGACCCCTGAATGACCTTCACCTTGAAGGTCAAATTATCCAAAAACTTAAAATTGGTCATAACTTCCTTATATGCATACGGATTCTACTCATGTTTTGAAACAACAACCCTGTAGACAAGACCTTCAAACTGATCTGTATTTTTTACGTTGTACCCTGAATGACCTTCAAGAACATCCAAAAACTTTAACATTGGTCATAACTTCTTTATAAGTAAGTGGAATTAATTCTACTTTGTACTTGTAATAGTACATCTATGTTAAATATTTGTAATAGTACTTTATATAATAGTTCCCTGTAAATTACTTTCATACATGTACAACTACATAAAATAA